TTTCGACGGCCACCACGATCACGACGACGACGGCCGCGACGACGACGGCGCCCACGTCGACGACGATGACGCTCACGACGACGACGATGCCCACGACGACGACGCTCATGACGACGACGACCAGCACGACAGCGACCACGACGACGACGACGTCACGACGACGGCGATGACGACGACGATGACGACGCCCACGAACACGACGACGCCCGCGACGACCACGACGCCCACGACGGCGAGGGCGACCACGTCGACGACGACGAACACGACCACGCTCACGACGACGACCACGTCGACAACGATGACGACGCCCACGACGACGGCGCCAACCACGACCACGCCGAGCCCGACGACGCCCGCGCCGAACACGACGACGTTGATCACGACGACGACCGCGACGACAACGACGGCCACCACGATCACGACGACTACGCCCATGACGACGACGACGCCCACGATGACGACGACGCTCACGACGACGACGCCCACGACGACGACGACCACCACGACGACCACGACGAACACGACGACCGCGGCGACCACGACGGCGACGACGCCCACGACGACGAGGCCGCCGACGACGACGTTAACGACAACGACGACCACGACGACGACTCCGACGACTTCGACGCCCACGACGACGCCGACGCCGACGACAACGCCCACCACGACCACGACGACCCCCACAACGACGCCCACGGCGACGACGCCCACGACGAAGACGACGACGACGACCACGACGACGACCTTGACGACGACGACGACCACCTCGACGACGACCAGCACGACCACGACGACGACGACGACGCCCACGAGGACGTCCACGACGACGATACCTGGGCGTGTCCGGCCCTCTTCGCGGGCGCGCGGGGAGGGCGGCTTCTCGGCTCGCCTCGGGGGCGGGAGGCGCGCCTTGATGGGGAAGAGGCACCGACACCGCTGCCCCTGGGCCTCGTGGGCGCCTGTATTCGGGGATCGGGTGTGGACAGAACCTCCACCCTGACACGTCGATCTGTGCATGGTCCGTCTCCGGTTCTCGAGAGGGCGCCGCGGCCGCCATCCTCCAGACTTGCGCCCGCCGGGTCTGGGCCCGAGGTCGTTTGCACGAAACCACGCCTTGCCACATGGGGTCTGTGCATCCCCCGGGTGCAATCCGGGGAGCGGGCGGCGCAGAGGCTCGGAGGCCCGGGCCGCAGTCTTCGGGCTTGCGCTGGGGTGCCCCCCAGCGGCGCCTCTGGCGGCGTCCCTGGCGCGCGGAGCGCGCCGGGGAGGGGTGCACAGCGCCGGCCCGAGGAGTCTGCGCGGGCCTCGGAGGCTATATGTCTGCGTCACCGCTTGTTCCCCTCACTTTGTGGAGGACGATCACTGGAGAGGAAGCATGTTGCCAGATTGTTTTCAGATGTCTAGAAACTTTGCTGAAACTGATTCAAACACGTAAAAAACAGGTTTTGAACATTTGCAGGACATTTTTCCGACATTTTAAGCACACTGCTAATTCGATGATAGGACTGTTAGGGTGTCCATTGTCGTGGCATCCACAACGTTGCCGGCCTCGATTCCCAGTTGATTCCCTCCTGGGAGGCCGTCGTCGCCACGATTGGATTCGCCTGGGGATTCTGGTGAGAATGCGCCCTGGGAGAGGTCTGGGGAGGGGCGGCATCAGTACCTTTTCGTTTCCCCAGGGGATGGGGCCTGGGTCACTGCTATGGGGCGCGAAAGTGCTCCCGCATTGCGGCTCAGGGCTGAAGTGGCGCCCTTCTCCAGAGCGGCGGCGGGAGGGCGCGAAGATCACCGCGCGTCGCGCCTGGCGGGCGCGTTTTGCGCGAAGTTCGGTGGCCTGGTGTGGTGCGGAGTTGCTGGCCCGCGGGCTGGCAGAGATCATCCCCCCGGGCGGGCTCCGCACAGGCAGCCGCTGGGAGCTCGGCTAGGAAGGCATCTGCACAAGCGTGAGCTGTCGGAGGGCCGCGTGGATGTCCTGGATTGGCGCCGGGCCTTCCCGGCGGCGCCCCTGGCGCCGCCCTTTGGGCGTTGCGTAATGGGGGGTCATAAATGGGGGGGCGGCGATGGTGGTCCGAAAAGGTACCCAAACGGTACCTAAACGAGCCCCCTGGGGCGCTGGAGGGGCCCGAAAGGGGCACGAAAGGGGACCTTTTCTGACCCCCCCCATTTGTGACCCCCCCATTAAGCCATGCCCAAGCCCTCTGGCGCGCCGAGGGCGGGGCTCCCGGGCCGAGCCAGGAAGTCCGCTCGCGCGGGCCTCCGCCAGTGCGCGGCCAGCGCGCCGCCACGAGGGCCGCTCGGAGCCGCTCTGCCTGCGGAGCTCGCCTGGCCACGGCGAGCCGCGACCGCGGGCAGGCTCCCCGACCTGGATTTGAGTCGGGCACGCCCCCCTACAGGAGGCAGGAGGCTCAAAACGTCGGCAAAACGCCGGGACGATTCCCTTGATTTGTTTTTGGCTATTTTGGAGCTTTTGTTCGACCGGTTTTCCATGTCTCCTCCAGAATCCGCAGGCAGGAGGACAGGCCCGACCCGGACCTCGATCTCAGGAAAGGCCGGGGCCCCTCCCGATCCCGGAGTGGGCCCTCCTGCGAAGGCCGTGCGGCCGGCGCCGGGGGGACGACGGCGGCGGCGGCGGCGGCGGCGGCGACGACGCTGACGCGGGCCAGAGGGATGCTTCTTGGGGCATCTTCGGAGGGCTCTCGGGGGCCTCCGGGGAGGAATGCCTGGGCCTCTCGGGGGCCTCTCGTGGGCCTCCTGGGAGCCTCTCGGGGCCGAGGGGAGCCAGGGTGGCCCTCACGGTCGGGCCGAGGCAGAGGGTCGAGGTCGGTTCAGGGAGGGTACCCTGAGGTTCCTCGTTCTTGTTGGATGTCCTTGTGCATCCTGGGGGAGGGCGCCCTCGAGTGCTCTTCAGCTTGGGCCGGCGGAGGGTCTCGTGTTCTTGAAGGATGCTCTTCTGTCCTGGGTCCGACTGTATTTCAGCCTCTTGGGTCAAGTCGGGCCTGTCCCTCTACAGGAGGAATATTCAAATAGGAAAAAATAGTCTGGGGACGATTTTTGGATTCTTGTTTGACTATGTTGCATTTTTTGTTTTGCGTATTTTTCTTTTCTCGTCCAAAGGGGACATGCTCGACCTAATCCTGGGTCCGACTGTCTTTCAGCCTCCTGTCGCCCTCCACGGGCCTCCGACCGTCGCAAAAATGGATCAAGGGGACGTGGATTAGCGACGGATCCCGTTTCCATGGCAAATCGCCGATTTCCGACGCCGAGCGAGGCGGCATCGGCCGCATTTTGGGGAGGGCACCTCCCCCGATCCATGGATTAGGCGACCGGGCGCCAAATCCATGGATCGCTAATCCATGTTTGCGCGCCCCCGATCAAAGCACCTGGGCGCCGCCCCTCCGCGAGGGCCCCCCGTCGACGGGGGCGTTCGGGTGCCCCCCGGGAGCGCCCGGAGTGCTGCCTGCCGCGCGGCCCTGCTGGCGGCTGGCGCGGGGTCTGCATCAATCGGCGGCGAGCGAGGGTCAGGCGATCGTGTAAGCGGCAATCCGCACCAGCGTAACAGCAAGGTAGGGGCACTAACTAGCGAATTGGCCCGCGTGCACGGATGGAGGGGGGAGGCCGACGAGAGGAATGAGGGAGAGACGCTCAGACGCCGAAGAATTCGACGATGAGCAGCTGGTTGGCGGCACCGAGGACAGGGACAGGGTGGAGGGTTTCTCCGAAGGGCTAAGGCGACCCGTCCTCCTCCTCGTCGTCGTCCTCCTCCTCCTCCTCCTCCTCCTCCTCCTCCTCCTCCTCCTCGGGTCGCCTACGGCCCCGGGGAAACCGTGCAGGATAGGGGCAGAACCAGAGACACTCTTGTGCAGCCCCCTTTTGGCCCCCAGCCCTGCGCGCCGCCCCCGCAGCCGAAGAGCGCGCAGGGGGCCCAATGCGCCGCAGGCGCGGAGGCCCGCCCTTGGCCCGTGCCTGCCAGCTGCTGGGGGCGGTGGCGCTGTCGGCGCTGGCTGCCCGCAGGGCCCCAGCGGTGTTCGCGGCGGCGCCGCAGCGGGGCCTGGTGGAGCGTTTCTCCGAAGGGCTTAGTCGACCCGTCCTCCTACTCTCTCCTCCTCCTCCTCCTCCTCCTCCTCCTCCCTCCTCCTCCTCCTCCTCCTCCTCCTCCTCTCTCCTCCTCCTCCTCCTCCTCCTCCTCCTCCTCTCCTCCTCCTCCTCCTCCTCTCTTACAATTACTCAAGATGAATACTACTCTCCCTCTTCCCCTGATGACGGTTTGAAAGTGTCCGACCCCCCGCGTAGTTTTTTTGGTGTTTATATATAGATATGTGTACATATATATATATATATATATATATATGTACATATAAATATTTAACACAGGTTTCCCCGGAGTTGGGTTTTCGCTTGCATTTTTTTCAAAATGCTGCTCTCGCTGGGGCGCCAGCCTCATTTTCGGGCCCCGCTCGTTCCGAATCGTGCTCCTGCTGCAGCGCTGGCCTCATTTCCGTGCTTCCGCTCGTTCCGAATCGTGCTCCCGCTGCAGCGCTGGCCTCATTTCCGCGCTTCCGCTCGTTTCGACTCGCTTCCACTCATTTCCCGTGCCACGCCATGCTATGCAATGTTATGTTCGGGGCCGCTGTGCGATGCCATGCTTTGCGTTGCAAAGCTTAGTGATGCAATTCTTCACTACGCCACGCCACGCCATGCTGTGACATACTACGCTTTGCGGTGCTCTTCTACGCCATGCCATGCCGTGCTCTACAATGCATCGCGTACCCTTTCGGGATCATTGCCCTGTTCGACATTCGACTGTGCGAGTAGAGAGGGGATCTACGCCATGGTAAGGGATGGGAGGGAGGGGTAGGATGTCAGATATGACGCGAGCGCACCTAGCTTGCCTCCTCCCCTTTCTCCTCCTCCTCCTCCTCCCTGTCCTCCTCCTCCTCCTCCTCCTCCTCCTCCTCCTCCTCGTCCTCGGGTCGCCTACGGCCCCGGGGGAAACCGTGCAGGGCCGGGTGGCCACCGCACGGGCGCCCGCGGCCGGGCCCGCGCGGCGCCCGGCGGCCTCGCGGGGGCTTCTGGCGGAGGGCGCCGCTGCCAGCCTTTTCTCCTGTGCTGGGGCCGGGGCGCTGGCGGGCGCCGCCAGCTGGCGTTCGGGGCGTGCCCGAGCCGCGCCAGGCCGGCAGGCTGGCGGCGACGAGGTCGCCGCGGGCGCGTCCATGAAGCTGTTCTCTCCGGCGAAGGTGAACCTCTTCCTCCGCATCTCGAAGAAGGAACAGCTGCGTAAAGGTAATTAGATTTTCGACGGTCCGCGAGGATTTCTTGGACCTGCGCTGGGCCCTCCTGGCGGCGCCTCCAGCGCAGTCCCTGGCGCGCTGCGCGCGCCAGTGAGGTGCGTCCGGCGCAGATTCAAGAAATCCGCGTGGACCGTCGAAAGTTGATGTTTTGCAGTTTTTTCTTCCTCTGGCATCATCAGGAAGCGGCCAGACGGGTACCATGACCTGGCGTCATTGTTTCATACAGTATCCTTCGGAGACACGCTCGACCTGGAGGTGCTCCCCACTACCGCGACAAAGGACGAGCTTAAGTGCAACCTGCCAGGTGTCCCGACCGACGAGTCGAACCTGGTTGTCCGCGCGCTGAAGCTTTTCCGGGAGAAAAGCGGTGTGCAGCGCTTCTTCAAGATGGACCTGCAGAAGAACACGCCGGCTCAGGCCGGCATGGGCGGCGGAAGCAGCAACGCGGCGGCGGCTTTCTTCGGGGCCAACGCGCTCTGTGGACGCCCCGCCTCGCCAGAGGAGCTTATCCTTAAGTCGGGCCTGTCCCTCTACAGGAGGAATATTCAAAAATAGTCAAGAAATAGTCAGGTGACCATTTTTTGAATATTTTTTGACCATCTTGGAGTATTTTTTGAGTATTTTTTGTTTTTCGTCGAAAATCCCCCTGTAGGGGGACACGCCCGACTTAAGCTTATCCAGTGGGCCGACGACCCTGTCATAGGTTCTGACGCCACGTTCTTTCTGTCGCAGGGCACGGCTTATTGCACCGGCCGCGGCGAGATTGTCACGCCAGTGGGGCCGCTCAAGGGCACAGCGAACCTGGCGGTGTACCTTGTGAAACCTGCGTATGGCCTATCCACAGGAAGTATTTTTAAGGCTCTGGACTACGACGCGTTGAGCACCGTCGACCCCGACGAGCTCCTCAGTGCGTTCCAGGAGAAGGGCACCGATCACGGTCTTTGGATCAATGATCTCGAGCAGCCTGCTTTTGAAGTTGAACCCAACCTCGGCGAGCTGAAGGCTGCTCTGGAATCTGCAGATTTCGGCTTCAAGGCAGTGCTCATGTCCGGCTCTGGTTCAACCATTTACTGTTTGGGCGAGCCAGCAGGGGGGGAGGAGGGCTTCAAGGATGCGATCAAGGCGAAATTCAACATCGAAGGCATCTGGCGTACGCAGCTGCTTCGTCGGGAGTCCATGGACGAGTGGTACGCTGCCTCAGCCGCTTGATCAGCGTGTGTAGCTTCGGTGCTCCTGTGAGCGCCGCGATGCTTCACAGAGCAGTGTGAATTTTGCGCGAGTGCCTTAAAAGTGAGACCCATCCGAGTTCAGCGATACAGGCTGGTTCTTTTATTCTAGACGCTTCGCGTGTCCCCACCAGCCCATGCTGCGACTGGTGCCTCACTCACCTTTTTGCTGGGTCTCACGCTCAGTCGCCATGTCCGGTATCTATCTGTGTCTTGTGGACGCGTGTCTTATGGCATTCTTGATTGTTCGCGTCTCCTTAAAAGCCGAACTGGCAACAATGCTCAGGCGAGTTGCCTTTATCATGGAAGTGGAGGAGCATTCACCAGAGCAAAGAGGAGGAGCAGTTGTCAAACCGAAACTTAGGATCTGCTCATGTAGCCAAAATTTTGTCCTCGGGGCTCGCATGTAACACAACAGCCTTTGCGTATAATGCTCAATCTCGGGCGCTTCTCGGTGGCTTCCTGGATGCCCCCAGACGTCTCAGAGTCAGCGACTTCTTACTCCTCCAACCGTGCTCGTACTCAGGTTCCCAGCCATCCTGTGGTGTTGGCTCTTCGTTTTGAAGAGACAGCGCCGGAGCTCCACCGAAGGCCCTAGTGGCTGCGGCCGCGTGCGACCCCGCCACCCATTTCAGCACACCCCTCACGCGTTTCGTGGCCCCATAGGGAGCTCCACCGAAGGCCCCAGTGGCTGCGGCCGCGTGCGACCCCGCCACCCATTTCAGCACACCCCTCACGCGTTTCGTGGCCCCATAGGGAGCTCTACCTAAGGCCCCAATGGCTGCGGCCGCACGCGTCCCCGCCACCCATTTCTGCACACCCCTCCCACGTTTCGTGGTCCTGTAGGCAGCTCCACCTAAGGCCCCAGTGGCTGCGGCCGCATGCGTCCCCGCTACCCAGTTCGGCATGCCCCTTCCACGTTTCGTGGCCCCATAGGGAGCTCCACCTAACGCCCAGCTGGCTGCGTCCACGTGCGTCCCGCTACCCACTTCGGCGCACCTCTCACACCTTTCGCGGCCGCACGTTGGGCTCCACCGAAGGCAATGCGCACAACGATAGCACTCACACCTGCATATGATTGGGTCATTCGCCAGGCTTTTTTTTGTTCTTCTTCTCGCTTCGTTGGGGGTAATCTACTCGCATGCTGGGTGTTCGCCCACGCTGCAGCCCGCGCCGCCCAGCAGGGCACCCGGTGGCCGAGGTTGCGCCACGCTGCCGCCCGATCCGGCTCGCGGGCGCCCCACGTTTTTTTTTTGGGGGGGGGTTGTTGTTGTTGTTGTTGTTGTTGTTGTTGTTGTTGTTGTTGTTGTTGTTGTTGTTGTTGTTGTTGTTGTTGTTGTTGAACATTATTTCTTCTTAAGAATAATTATTGTTGGGACCCCTGGTGCGCGACCTCTGCGCCGCGCCTAGGCCGCAGCTACATTTTCATCATTTTTTCGCGAAAGCTTCAGAAAAGTGGATTGTGTCCGGATCCGGTTGTTTTGTTGACGCCGTTTTCCCTTGCAAAAAACAATAGAAAATGAAAATTCTTGTTCTTACTTGATCAAATTGCAAGAATCCCTTGCAAAAAATAAGGTAAAGTGGACATTCGTGCGCGCAAGACGAAATCCTTCCAAAACCTTAGGTTTCGTAACGATTTTAACATAAAAACATCAAAAACCCAATGGTTTTTTAAGAAAAAATTGTCAAAATGTCCTTCCGCGCGCGCTGTCCGAATCCCACAAAACCAATGGTTTTTCAACATTTATGTTACATGAGCTCGCGCGAGCTACTTTTTCTTGTTCTAACATAATCAAATTTCAATAATCCCTTGCAAAAAATAAGGTAAAGTGGACATTCGCGCGCGCAAGACGAAATCCTTCCAGAACCTTAGGTTTCGTAACGATTTCAACATAAAAACATCAAAAACCCAATGGTTTTTCAAAAAAAAATGTCCAAATTTCATCCCGCGCGCGCTGTCCGACTCCCACAAAACCAATGGTTTTTCAACATTTATGTTACATGAGCTCGCGCGAGCTACTTTTTCTTGTTCTAACATAATCAAATTTCAATACTCCCTTGCAAAAAAAAGTAAAGTGGACATTCGCGCGCGCAAGACCAACAAAAAACACGACGATCTCAGGAACTTGCCCCAAAAATGTGACCAACTCCGCTCTCTCTGTCTCTCTCTCTGTCTGCTCTCTGTCTCTCTCTCTGTCTGTCTGTGTCATGTATTGTATGTCACAATTGCAGGATGCTGGGCACACGCGCGCCCCGAATAAGTGACCAAGTTCTGTGGGTGTGTACCCCACGCCAGTGTAGTAGCCACGGTCGTCCGCACGCCACGAAGTGAAGTGTCCCAACGTCATAGGGCGGGAAGCTGGGTTTGGGTGGTCGCGAAGAGTCGTTTGGATATTTGGTAGAGCTTGAACTGCCCCCCCACGAAGTGGGGGTATTGTCTCGCGTCGCATGAAAACCCTGGCACTGGTGAGAACACTGAGCGTTCGGGTAAAATGATTGTTGTTGTTGTTGTTGTTGTTGTTGTTGTTGTTGTTGTTGTTGTTGTTGTTGTTGTTGTTGTTTTGTTGTTTGTTTTGTTTTTGATGCCATAAAAATAATACACCTAAAACAAAAATATCAAGTAATCAGCAACAAAAAGCCGCCACCTCGTGGGCGCCTCGTTGGCGTCCCATTCGCTCGGGGTGGTGATGCCCAGGCTGCGCCGCGCTGCGGCCCGTGCCTCCTTTTGGGCGCCCGTACTCTAATGCTCGCGCGGCACAGCTTTCATCACACACCTCAGACCGCATAGCTTACACGACGCAGCTCTCCCCGCACCGATGACACAACATAGCGTACATCACACACAGTGGGGGCGCGCATCAAGAAACCATATGCGTTTCGTCAGGGTATCATGGGTTTCTTCGCTCCGCCCGCGGCGCGGCGACTTCCCGCGGCCGTTGAAGGAGCTGCTGCGTTCAGAGTGCTCCGGGTTTCCCCTCCGGTGCACTTCGCGCGCGGGTGTTCAGGGTTGGGTTTCTTGCGAGGGTTTCTTGCGGCCGCGCCCGCACCGTAGCTTCCACACCAAAATTTTCACTTCCAGTTCACACCACCTATCTGATACGACATATCATACACCGCGTAGCTTATATCGCTTAGCTTTCACTTCGCCAGCTCACACCACACACCGTTCACCACATTGCTCACACCGCATAGTTCTCACCTCCACAGTTCGAGAACGCACTGTTTGGGATGTATGCTGGCCAGAATGAGATGTTCAAGGTGTCTTTGTATTTTCTTGGGCCGTCTCGGGGCCCTCCTGGGCCGTCTTGGGGGCCTCTTGGGGGCTTTTCAGGTCGTCTTTGGGGCCCTGGGGGCTCACTGGGCCGTCCAAGTGGTCTCTCGGACTGGACGGTATTTTGAAGCGTATTGGGGGCCTCTTGGGCCATCTTAGTGTACTCTCAGGCTGTATTGGGAGCTTCCTCGACGCATCTTGTGAGCCTCTTCTCTTGGGCCGTCTTGGAAGCTTCTTGGGGACAAGATGTTGGAAACAGTTGGTTTCGTGCCGCCGTCGGGGGACAAATGGTTTCGAGGGATGTTGGATGTCCTGGCCTGGCGCGTCAGGGCTTAGGGGGCCCCGATCCTCGACGCTCGGGCCCAGCCCCCGCACAGGTGGAGGAGGCCCTGGTGCGGGGCTCCAGCGACAACGTCAGCTGCGTCGTGATCTTCCTGTGACCCCGCCGCGGGGCCGCGCCGACGGCGGGGCCTCCTGGCGGCGGCCGCGGGCAGACCTCCTCTTCGCCCTCCGCCTCCGCCTCCGCCTCCGCGCTGCCGCCGTCATCTCTGTGGTCGTCGTCGTCGCCGGCACTGCCGCTGTCGTCTGCCGCCGCCGCCGCCGCCGCTGCCGCAGCTGTCGTCGCCGCTGCCGCCGCCGCCGCTGTCGTCGCCGCTGCCGCCGCTGCCGCCGCCGCCGCTGTCGTCGTCGCCGCCGCCGCCGCCGTGGTGGTCGTCGTCGACACACGGATCAGGGCGGCCAGCAGCTCCCTCGGTTCTCTGCATCCTGCAGCCGGGGCCACGCCGCTTCTTGCTCGCCGTGGTTTCGGACGCTGGGTGCCGCCGCCGCCGTCCTGGTCAGAGGCGATCTCGAAGGCTTGGGGAGGGTGTGCAGCCCAGCGCGCTCGAGACACAGCATCGTCAGGGGTAGCGACAGGGGGGCACGGGCTCTTGGGGGGAACCATCGGCGCCCCATCGCCAGTTCATCGCCAAGAGGGGCCCGATAGCCCACTCCGCTCAGGAACGTCAGGCTTGGCCATCGGGGGCTTATCGCCGGTCTCTCAACGATGCATCGCCGATTCCATGTCGATGCTTCCCCCCCGAGCTAGTCTCCCCTGATTCGGGACGGACGGCATGGGGGGATAGGGAAAGGAGGGGTGCATCTGCGGCACGCAGCTGGTTTCGGCCCCACCGCGGGGCGCCTTCCTTGACAGATTGGCGCCTCTGGCGGGAGGTGCTAGGGCGACCAGCTGCGCGAGCTGATTCGCCAACCCTCCCGCCCCCTTCTCTAAGCGCCCCTTCCGTCCGACCAGAGTGTTCCCCCCTCACGTCCGCGGGCAGCAAGGGGTGGAGCCATCCCCTGTCGCGTGCAGGACAGGGCTCGAGCCAGACGGTGTTTTTTCAGCGATCTCGACCGCTTTCGTTTTGATCTCGGGCTGCAGCAAAGGCGGCATGAAGACGAAGCGAGGTAACACGAAGACAGAACGAAAACGGGCAACCCCGTTCAGATCACTGCCTGGCCCAGAGCCTGCAAGCGTGGTCCAGGCGCAGCCGGCACCGGGGGCTTCTGCCCTCGGCGGTGCGCGATATGGCTCGCACGTGTCGGGGGCCGTCTGCTGCCTCTGCGACGGGTGCCGTCTGTCTACAGATGTCGCAGCGGCCCGAGTCTGGCGGGGTGGTGGGCGTCAAGGCGACGGTCCACATGGGCAACGTATGCGGCGTTCCAGACAGGGCTTCGCCTTCGAGGATCGAAGGGGCTGGCATCTCTTGCTTACGGAAGGCCGGCGGAAGGCCGGCGGAAGGCCAGCGGACGTAAAGCGAGGCCGCTTCCGTTAGTGGAAGTTGACGCAGGGCCGGCGGAAGTTGGCGGAAGTGTAAAACAATGCGTTCTTCAGAGATGTTTGGCCTGGCGCGGGTTTCCAGAGCCCGCCATCAGCGTGGGAGCGTGGTGCCTTCTGGACTTACCCAGCGCGTTCCACTGCTCGCAAAGTGCCCACTCGCAAGCGTGCGAAAAACACATGTCCGCCTTGATTTGATTTATCGCAGATCCCCCGCGGGGGATCCAGGCCATTTGCGAGTAGCTGCTTTGCGAGTCTTGGAACGCGCTCGTCTCTGGACGATGTCCAAGGGCGATTTTCCCATCGCAGGGGCAGGTTCTTTGTTAGGATTAAGTCGGCCCTGTCCCTCTACAGGGGGGGTATTCAAAGATAGTCAAGAAATGGTCTGGGGACTATTGTTTGAATATTTTTTGGTCATTTTGGAGTATTGTTTGAGCATCTTGCATTGTTCGTCGAAAATCCCCCCGTCGGGGAACAGGCCCGACTTACTGTTAGGAGCCCTCCCCGCTCACTGCCGGGCTCGCTCCCCGTGCGGGCGCAGGAGGAGGCGAGGACCGCGGGCGTGTGCCCGAACCTGTCGAGGACTGAGCGAAGGATGGCGGACGTGCGGGTTCCGGAGGGGAAAAAACACACACAGGCACAAGGAATCATCGATGCCCCAGAACATATGGGAAACTGCGGGAAGTGGGGAAGACAGGAGCCCAGAAAACGTGGGAGACCATGGGGAATCCTGTTACTTGTGTGTATTTATTTGTGTGTTCCAGGGCCCCTTCATGGATATCGACCTGCTGCGACGATTGTTTTATACATACGATCACGACCACCCGCCTCACCTGGCAGAGTACGGCAATGAGGGGTTCATTAACAGATCGTTCTCAGGACGAGGTGTTGTGGTGCCAAGATTAGGGCTCGCCGCAAACCTGGATCAACTGCAGCTGCAGCAGCGACATACGGTGGGGGCGCTTGTTCAGGAACGTGCCCATGACCTTGGACGGTTCCTTGCACGATAGGGGGCGGCGGCGAGATCCGCGGCGAAGCCTCGAGCGGCGCCCCTTCCAGCTTTCAGACCCTGGGCTCCTCATCCAAAGGGGGTTCCTCAGCCAGTGCCCTCAGGGGGAGGAGGAGGGGGAGGGGGAGCGGGAGGAGAAGGAGAAGGAGAAGGAGGAGGGGGAGGAGGAGGAGGAGGAGGAGGAGGAGGAGGATGATGATGAGGAGGAGGAGGAGGAGGAGGAGGAGGAGGAAAGGAGGAGGCGGAGGGGGAGGAGGAGGCGGAGGGGGAGGGGGAGGACGAGGAGGAGGAGGAGGGGGAGGGGGAGGAGGAGGAGGGAGGAGGAGGAGGAGGAGGAGAGGAGGAGGAGGAGGAGGAGGAGGAGGAGGAGGAGGAGGAGGTGAAGCCGTTGCGACCCTCAAAGCTTGCGCTTGCTGGGCGGCCTCGGACGTTTGCGGCGCGGTCCTGCCCTGCCCGGTGCCTTCCCCGGGCGCGTCTCCAACGGGGCTTCTCTCACCCCGGCCTCGCTCGGACGTGTGCACGTCTTCCTCGGCGAGGACCGTCGAGAAGCATCTGGGATCATCTTGCGAAAAGGTGCACGCGCGAAATCGACAAACGCACGGGGGATGGCCGTCCGAGCGACGGCGAGTTGCAAAGCCGCTTTTTATCAGCGGGATCCCCCAGGTCGCCCCCCCGCTGGAGCGAAGGCAATCGCGCTTCGCGCATCGCCTCTTGGGTTGGAGACCTGCCCCTCTCCAGGGGGCGGGCCCCCCGACGCGGAGACCGGCGAAGACCTCTCGGCGCGATGTGTTCCATGACGCGATAGCGCGAAACGTGCCGTCGTGATACAGTAGGCACGTCAAGGCGAGCCCGGGGGGGGAGTGGGAAGGGGGCGGGCCTTCTCAGAAGGCTCGGAAGCCCCCCAGCCTTCTGAGAAGTTGTCTGAGCCTTTCCCAAAGACACAGAGAACTTCTCAGAAGGCGCGACGGCTTCTGAGAAGTTCCGCCGCCTGCTGAGAAGGCCTTCTCCTTCTCGCCTTAGGCTGTGAGTCAGGAGCCTCTTGAATGAATCTGAGGGTCTCTTGGGATGCCTCTCAGTGGCCTCCTGGAGGGCTCTTGGATGCATCTGGGAGGCTTTTGGGGACCTCTTGGGGCGTCTTGGAGGCCTCTTGGGGCCTCTTGGTGGTGCCTCGGGGGCCTCTGGGGGGCTCTTGGGGCCATCGTGGGGGGAAAGGCTCGAAACATGAGTTCGTATTCCCCTTCTGTGGCCCTCTTGGAGCTCTCTTGAGCCGTTTTGGGGGCCCCTGAGGCCGTCTCAGGGCCCTCTTGGGCAGTCTTGGAGCGCTCTTGGGGGCCTCATCGGCCGTCTTGTGACGATCTTAGGGGCTCAGATGTCAAGACGAAAAAGGCGAGCGTGCTAAAAATGTACGTGCTGCCAAGGGAATGGGGCGATATTTGCCTCTTGAGGCCTTCTCGGCGGTCCTCTAAGAACACTCTTGGGCCGTCTTGAGGGCCTTCTGGGCCGTCTTGAAATCATATTGGGTCGTCGTGGGGCTTTTCAGGGCCGTCTCGGTCCTTTCTTCATCTGTCGTGGCGCTGTCTGGGCACTCTTGGGGCTTCTTGGAGACTCCGGAGGCCCATGGGGGTGCGTTGGCGAGCTCTTACGCCCCCTCCCCCCGGCCCCACTATTGTGACCAGTCCTGGCTTACTAGTCCCAAGCCTGGTCCGTTTGGGACCAATGCTGGCTGAATCGGTGCACATCCCGGCTTAGAATCCTCTCAAGTACTATTTCTTAAGAAGTACTCTTAAGGTTTCTTAAGAAGTGCTCAGAAGGCGTCCTAAGTAGGTCTTCTTAAGAACTAACGAGAAGGCTTCTGAAGTAGTACTTCTCAAGATGTGCTCTTAAGACTTTCCAAGTCGCACTTCTTACGAAGTACTCTTACGACAGTTTTACGTAGCACTTCCTAAGAAGTTCTCTACAGACTGTTGAGGGGCCTCTTGCGAGGATTCCTTCGAGTTCCTTTGGAGTTCACCTCGGTTCCTGCAGGAATCGTAGACGACCACATGCACTCAGGATCTGTATACGATTCGCATGGGTATGTACACGATTCACAGAGGAGCCGCTCACGAGTCTCACTGTAACCGTATACGCTTCGCATAGGAGTCGCATAAACTGCACATACGACTGTATATGATTCACATCGTAGTCGTATGTGATTCACACAGGAATCGTATGCGATACATGCCATTAGGAGCTGTAAACGGTTCACATAGGAATCGTAAACGATTTACACCGGAACCGTGTTCGGTTCACAAAGGAATGCACATTGGAATCAAAAACGGTTCACATAGGGAACGTGTACGACTCACATAGGAATCGTAGACACGGTCTTCTTATGAAATTCACACAGGTTTTGTATACGATCCAATCTGATCCGTACACGATTCACATCGGATCCCTCAGCATTCGCAGAAAACGGGGACCAATCTCGGCGATGGAAGATGGAAAGTGCGAGTGAGTGTCCTCAAAAGCAGCATATTCATACAGTTCTGGAGTGCTTGCAATATATGTATATCTATGTATATATATATATATATATATTTATATATATGTGTATATACACATACATGTATGTA